CTCTGTGTATTGATATACACTCATAACTGCTCAGTGCAGATTATCTCCTTGCAGCATAAGGGAGGGGATGAGAGGTGGCATAGCATAATCACCGAACATCTGGCATCACACAGTAGATGCTATTCAGCTCCAAAAACTGAGCCAGTTTAGTAGATCAGAGGACCTCTAGACGATGCTGACGTGATAGGTGAGTGCAGCATGGGGTTATGCAAGCGGGTTGTCAGTAAATGGAAAGGATTAGGGAATTAGCTGACAGAGTTTAGGAGTCTAGGATTTTGCAGCATACAGGGATGAATATGAGCCACTAATGCTAAATTAAAGCAATTTGAATTGTATCCTCTGGACATAATGACTGAGATCCCTCAAGTATTGTGCAGTTTCATCAAATCTCTGCCCACTTCATTGGGATCTGCGGGCAGCAAACTCCTCTACAGTTTGAGCCATTCTTAAGCAGCAGTTTCTGGAATTTTTCACCTTTGTCAAGGCTTTTAAAGATGTAATAATGTATTAGTGAAAACATATGCCGTGAAATTACTTTGTTTCTTTTATTTTTATTATAGTTTAATTCTTGTTCAGGGGAGAAGTAGTATACTCGCTGAGCCTGATTTTGAACTTGCTTATGCTAACGCAAATAGGCTGAGAGTGATGTCTGTGGAAGTAATTAATTTGCTTTGTGAGTAAGCAGACATCATAATTACAATCCTTATTTTTTATAAAATCTATTTGGCATGAAATAAAGGTTAAGTTCCTTCCACATTTTTTATTCCTATAGCATTTGAAAAACATTACATAAGCATTTTAAGTTTTATGTTCATAATTGCTTTAGATACTCACTCTTCCTTTTTGCAGCACAAATTTCAATATAGCCAGGAGTGTACACACAAACCTGGAAACCTGACCTTCCTGCATAGTCAAAGATACCTTTATTGGATAGCTCAGAGCACTTATTTTGGGCATTAGTTAGTAGTAGAATTTTGCATTCAAATCATTTTCTTAACTTATCTGTAAAAGGAAAGTAGGAGCACTGTCCAATTTACCTGAAAAAGAGAGGGAGTTAAAGTACTTCAAAAAAAAAAAAAAAAGGATGCGGTGCAGGTAGCAAAAGCAAATAGATAATCTTTGCTTTTTCAATTTCTGCTTGTATAACCGGAGTTGAGACCAAGAATGTCATTGTATCATTTTATACCTTGTAACTTAGTGACCTTATGGATTTTAGACTTCAATAGATATAAAAATAAATATATTCACATTATTTCATTTGTACTGGCATCTAGAGGGCTGTGGCCTAATATATTAGATACTATATTAGTATATAACACACCAATGTTTATGTAAAGAGTTGATATTTCAATATATAAAACAGGGAAAGTCAAGTGAATGCAAAAAACAGATGGAGAATTAAACATCGGTAGCAAGATTAATATGACCTAAATAATACTAATAATAAAAAATCTAAGTATGTTTTGCCTTTTTAAAGTATCTCCATTTTCAAATAAATTTTCAATCAGTTGTCACAAATACAGGAATGTTACAACTGAATATCTCAAAATAATGCAAATGTTGCCATTCATTTCAGGAAGAGAAGGATTTTATTTATGTTTTAAGCAGAATACATACAAATGTATTTATGTTCTGTTAAAACTGAATTTTGATAGGAATTTAATGTTTTCTGTGACATCTTAGTACAAAATAGATTGTGCCTATTGTCTATATTTTTAAAAGATGTCCTATATGAAAATATCTTAAATATTCACCGTGGCAGGGGTTGTATTTGGAAGAATGTTAGTGGTATGTTCCTGTACTAAAACAATTTAAGAGACTTGTCAGTTAAAACTCACGATTTAGAAAAGGTATTTTTATTTATCTCAGAAGCAGACAAACATATAACAAAATAATGCATCAAATCCAAAATTTATTTACTGAAATGCATCGTAATTTGTTGTTTGTGTGGCTAAGTACAGAAACATTTCTGGACAATGTGGGAGTGGATGGGTATGGAGGAGATCATTCTTTATCTTTTCTCTGACTAGGCAGATGATTTTATCAAACAACCAGAGCTGTTGATTTGAACATCACAAATGAAATTTTGTGATGTCAAGTAAGAGAAATAGTAGTTTCTTCTTGAGAAAATCTTTCTTTTCATACAGAACATTTCCTTCTTAATTATGTGGCTGAATTCAACCATTATTTTGTTTTACTACATATATCCTTTAGAGTAATCCCAGCCATATTACATTATGCTGGATTTTCGTATGTTCATAGAATCATAGACTAGTTTGGGTTGGAAGGGACCTTAAAGATCATCTAGTTCCACCCCCCTGCCATGGGCAGGGACACCTTCCCCTAGCCCAGGTTGCTCACAGCCCCGTCCAACCTGGCCTTGAGCACTGCCAGGGAGGGGGCAGCCACAGCTGCTCTGGGCAACCTGTGCCAGGGCCTCACCACCCTCACAGGGAAGAATTTCTTCCTTATATCTAATCTAAATCTACCCTCTTTCAGTTTAAAACCATTACCCCTCATCCTATTCCTGCGCTCCCTGGTAAAGAGTCCCTCCCAACCTCTCCTGTAGATCCCCTCTAAGTGTGGGAGGGCCGCTGTTAAGGTCTCCCCAGAGCCTTCTCTTCTCTGGGCTGAACAACCTGAATGTGTAGCTGTGATACTACATGTGCTACAATGCTGCTCTAAAATATTTGCTTTATATAGATAATAAATATACAATGCCCCCTAAATATACTATTCTTCTGGCATCATGTATGTTGTTATGAGAGTGTACTTTCATACCTTATGTTCTTAGTCCTTCTCTTGAACTCATATAAGGGCCTATGCCTAGTTTGTTCAGAACTTTACACAGTAGTTATGAAACCAGGCAGGATCTGGCAGATCACAGTTGTCAGAATCTCCCAAAGAAGTTGTTAGTATGTATTAAATCAGTGGAGTCAGGTAAATGTTTTCCATACTATGTGGCACAAAACCATAATAGTGAAAGCTGTGCCATACAATAAAAGATTTGCAGTTTTATTGAGTTTTCCTGGGTGACTGGTTTTATACAACTTTGCATTTTTTGTGTGTTAATTTTTTTTTAATAAACAAGCCAAACTAAATACAATTAAACAAACACACACACCCCAAAACTTCCTTAGAATTATATATTTAACCAAAACATGAACATTCATTTAATTAGAAATCATTTAATACATTTTGTGTCTAGATACCAAATAAAATCTAAGTATGGTTTCCTTATTTTTCTGGTAGGAAAACTTAGAAAGGGCACCTCAAAATTGCCAGTTACTTTGAACTACATTTCAAAATTACTATGAGCTGTGCTGACTTAAAAATGAGTGTGTCTATAAATATATATTAAAAAATTTCAGTGTGTGTATATATATATATATAGACACAAATATTTATATAAGTCCATACAGCTACTGAGATATTTGTGGTTTTATAAAATTATTTAGTATATGGATGCGCTAATTTTTTTTTCAATTTCATACTTTTATGTTACCTTTAGAATAAGTCAGCATCTAACAATTTTTTATTTATTCTATAGAACATCTTTTGTTTTGATGTCAATGAACATGAATTAAATTCTGAAATTAAAAATTACGTATATGCTGTAAAACAATTCAGTGCAAAATACAATGTGGTATAATACAATTTTTAATGTACATATTGTATAAGTGGAAAATATAAATGTTTGTTAACTCTGTAGTATGCTGGCTTTTCAAAGATTTGATTTTGATGCTATGGTAACACCTGGAAATACATGAAATGGGTAAGACTAGAAAAAAGCTTATTTATAGGACATGCATTTTTATTTGTAATTAGCTTGACTTCATAATAAACTTGACTTTATAATGAGGCAGTAAAATGAGAATGTTGCTAATAAAATTTTAATTGTATTTTGTATTGACTTCTTGCTGAGATTTTACATGGCATTTTGGAGGAAGGATTGACAAATTTAAGTGTTATCCCTATATACGTGCTCCACAGAACCTGGATCAATAGATATCAGTAGGCTACTAAAAATATATTTTGTAATTCAATATTATGAGACAGATGATACATTAAAACTTTGAGAAACGTTTGTAAAACGTATATCAAAATCAAAAGTTACAAAGAATGTGTATAAATATTGAATTTTTATCTTGGGTATCATTCTTCATTCATAGCAATAAGTCAATAATGAATAAATTTGTTGACATTAATGAGGTTGTATCAGTTTGAAACTTGTTTTAAGAGGAGGAAAAGTAGGATTTATAGGCAAATACCCTTTATTTGAAGACAATTTGATAAACTTTTTAAGATGTAAAAATGCCATACTTTAATCTTTCAAAATCTTCAGCACTTAGATACTCTCTCCTGCTGCACTTCATTTCCATAGACTGAATAATAATACACTGTAGTGCATAATGAATTTCTGTATACTGATGTGGATGACAGGTTGAACAATCAAGATCATGTCCTGTTCAAGACCAACTATTTCATCTGTCCATGCTATACAGTCTTTGCTTTAGCCAAGTGGGGTTTTTTAATCATTGTTACTAAAGGTGTTTTAAGGGAAGGTGAAGAATTTCAGACACATTTTTGTCTGAGAAGCTGGTTTGCTACTTGAACCTGGAAAGAGATGAATCACATGAAAACACTTGCTTTGATACAACCCACGATAGTTTTTTCATACGGGCTTATAATACATGCATTTGCTTAATCTTTTGGTCTGAAAGCTACTATGCTGAAAACAGTATATTCTGTGGGACAGTGATAAATATGACTTTCCTGTTATTTTATCTTTAATTCTTTGTATTGTACATTTGAAACAGATGCAGAGCATTAAAAAGCGTGATGAGCTGTATTTTAAATATTTTTTTAAAACCTTTTCTTTTATAAACATGGTAACTAACTTGCTTCATTCTTTTCCTTCCTTTTATAGGGTAGCAAAATATTATAGTGTTTATGCACAGAGCAGAAGTATTATTTATATATATTTTTTTTAATTACAG